TATTTTACTATAATATTTATATCGCGCAAAAATAAAATATGTATTATATTTATATACGAATTATATTTTCAGCTTACGGTATTACCTGAAAATCGCCGGAAATTTATTTTTGGAGTCTTTTGCAATGCAATGGAAGGAATACAATTCAAAGGAATTTAGCGCAATATCTTCATTTTGAACATATATTAATAACAGTAAGACTTATTTTAATTTTTCTCTTATCAGCGATTCGCGGAATCGCAATCGAAGAAAAATCTTCTAATATATGTTCAAAAAGGTCTTGGCGCGGACATTTTCTTTGGTTATCTAGCTGTATGAGTTTTATTCTACATCATAAAGCTAGGTTACCGGAGTTAAGCTCCTCGCCATATCAACTCCAGCAATCTTCCCCTTATGTGTTTCTACGCTTCAGCGAAAATAAAGCACCGAGACGCCGAAACTGTTACACCTGAGGTGTCCTCGACATCATCGCGGCATCGACTTATCGGGTAATAAAGGCAATGTTAGAAAAAAAATTTAAGTTTACGTTTATAATTTTAGATATTAACGGTTGAACCTTTATATCTCTCTTTAGCAGTATTATAATTCAATGTAGGCGATTGACATATATTTAACGATTTACATATGTAATATTATTCATATATTTTACTAGATGTATGATATTAGATGAATACTAGATGAATACTAGATGAATTTGAATGTCAAGATAATAATAGTTGTTATGCGAAGACGCATATGTGTCCCGCTGATTCCGATTGTCGCATCGAATAAAAATAGCGAACCCCGCAAAATCATTCCTCTCTCCCACGTTTTCGAACAGAAAGGACCTATGGTATTGTGTCGAATAATTTTCAGCTGTTAGGTCCTCACAATGGGCCGAGTGTTCGGTACGAAGAACCATGCAAACACAGATCCATAAAGAAGTATAAGCGACGCACTCGCCGATCCCGCAACCGCAACGTACAGAACAGGCAAATGCGAAAGTGTCGTCTAAGTCGTATAGCTGTGTATATGGCTCTCTGTATTCCCCTCGCGCGTGAAACTACGAGTTGGGCATTTGTAATTGTCGTTAGTGTCGATGACTCGTGACCGGCTTGTCGAAAGGAGAGGACTTTACAAAGTCGCGCATATCGATGTTCTCTCGCACATGTTTATTTTGCACCTACATCATGCGCGGGAGTATCATGGCTGAAAATAATGTCCGCTATTTTGATAATCACACGCTTTGGAGAAAGTTACATCGTTATATCGCACCGGAATCAGAAAGAGAGAGAGAGAGAGAGAGAGCGTAAATGCGGGACACGACCCAATTTGACGAAGCTTATACAATGAACGGTTTCGGCTATTTTTTCTTCATTTTTATTCCGCAAATTAACTTGAATTAACTTTTGGAAGAAGTTCGAGTCACAAGCTTCATTTTCGAAATAAGTTTCATCAATTTAAAAGTTGCACATATTTCCCTCCTCATTATATATCATTATTAATTAGTTCTTACTCTTGCAGATATACACGTGCGATCTTTGGGCAGATTTCTTATGATGATTCTATTGATAATTTATTTTGACGCTGCTTTCGGTAAAAGCGTAAAAATTTGTGCACGTCGTGAGTTCAAAGCGTTAACGTATCGAAGGAACGCCTCGCGAGAACGGAACCAGTTGTTTCATTAAACACACGCTGTGCCTATGAAACGTTACATTTTAAGTGTGTGCCGACACGGTGCGTGACGACAATGGTTCCCACAATAAAGAAGCCAGGATATGTTTACCAATTATACATATGTATATGCGACCACAGGAACGAACACGTCCGGCGTGATATTGCAGGAAAAATTCTTGGCTTTGTTTAAATTGCATGTAAAAGTTAGAACAATGCCAAATTTGATTCTTCATGAAATATATAACATTAAAGAGAATAGAGAAAAAAATGGCAATCAGATTTATCCTTTTTATTAATTTTTTCTAAAGATTTTGTTTGTGTAAGCTTTCTTGGGAATTTGAAATAATTTTAGGCATTAAATGATAAATTTACATTTAAACAAATTTCTTTTATAAAAATTTAGAAAATAAAATTGAATAAGCACAAACGGCGTGCTCTTTTCGCGATGATAATAATCTTAGCGTTAATCGCAGCTTGATTGTCAATCGATCAATCGGGTCAAGAATTTAAGATCGATGTGTATATGGTAGCTTTTTTCTATTGTTTATTTTTAGATTTATTATTTGCATACATGTATAGCGCAAAATTTTTATCATCTTAATCATTGCAAAAATACTCTTAAAATTATAACATCAGAATATCATAAAGATTTATCATTTAACTATCAATGTTAATTTTTATATCATGAGATAAAAAATGATTAAGACTACTTGAATCGTAATCGTTATGTGCGCTTCAAAACGTCTATTCTTCTTTTATCATTTTCTACCATCCACAAGACTGATAAGAGATTGATTTATCTGCGACAGGAAGCAAGATCGTACACAGGGTATCTACTCAAATCTTGTAAAAAAAATTCCCTGATCTTCCAGGTATTTTGAATTCAAAATTCCAGATAAAAAGAATATTTCAAAAATTTTTTATGCAATTTTCTAAAATAAAATTATTTATTATATGCCTTTTCTTTCGCTTTTCACTCATACGAAGAAAAAACACAGAGACATTCACGTTTCAAGTACTAGATTTGCAAATGTACTAAAAAAACTGAATAATTTTCATAAGATAAACATTTTTAATTTGCGTAACATTTTTATTTTTTATCACTGACCATGTTTATCCTACGTCAGCCTTAATTGGGTTTAATAACACATCTGTAGTTTTAAAACTGGCCAATCACAGAGCTCTGTTAGACGGCACCCCCGTTATGTTATTAAACCCGATTAAGGGTGACGTGTAAACATAAAACTAAAATTTACTTAAATTTTCACTAAAAATTACGATAAATAATATGTACTTCATATTTAATATTCTGTTAAGATATTGAATATATAAACAGAAACGGATATATATTTATAATATGTATATTTTAAACACATAATTTACAACTTGGCTTATCGATGGATTGCCGACTGGTTACAAGCAAAATTATCAAAAAGGAAATTTTTCTAAAAATTCCCTAAGTACTAATAGAATTTCATGAAAATCCCCTGGTTTTTTCAGGTATAAAAGGTTCATTCCGCATCATTAAATCGGAAAAGTACTTATTCCCAGATTGAATTATTATTGGAAGCGCGAGATAAAAAAAGCGGACCAGAGTTTTAAATGTATTCTGGAACATTCTGAGAGAAATTGTACATAAAAGGAGCACTCTTGTCTTGCTCGATATTCAACCTCACGCTACGAATTGGAATCTATATTAGCGGCATCTCGACGTGAATCTATATATATCAAATCGACCGCAAAGTACAATGTCAACAGTTACAAAGGTAAGAAATCTTTTTTAAATGCGCGATAATAATAATTCTCTTTCTATTTGTAAGATAGATTATTCGTTATGATGTATCATTATAATTCGTTGTAAATATGATAATCTCGTGAGTCACATTTTACATTGCGAAACAACATGTGATTATATTAAACTGCTCTATGATATCATTATTTGAGTGTTTTCCTCTTATCTCTCTATGCTTTATTTTATATTTTGTACCATCAATTTGTCGCATTTTTGTTATAAATGAATATTTTGAGATGGATGAAAATTGTATCTGTTTGAAATATTTCTGAAACGTTAAACCTTGACATTGTTATGAAACGATATAAACTCTACGTTGTTTATCCATAATGTTTAATGAAAACATAATTTATTATGAAAAGCAAGAGCTTCAGCAATCCGTTATATTTATTAAAAATTTTGTTAAAAGATATAATTTATATAAGCAATTATATAATTATATAGAAAAATTTGAGGAAAATGTGGATATTTTATTTATCTTTATTTTTGTAATTTGTCGTTTTTTCAAGTCAATCTATAATCACAACAAAAACTATACAATAAATGATATCCAAAATATCGCGTGCTCTTTATGATTATTTTTTTCTTTAGCGCTATATTTCGCTCGTCTTTTTGCACGAACGATCAATCAGTATTCTAATCATCACGTTACAAAAATCCTCTACTAATAAATTTTTATCTACTATGCATATATTCATTCTAATCAAATTTATTCTAATCAATATCTTTTTTAGATGTTCGAGAAAATACAAACCGAAGCAAATGAAAACGTCGAAACTTTCGCCTACGATAAAAAAGTTTCTCAGTTTATGTCTTTAATGACTAATAACCTCTACTTAAATAAAGAAATCTTTCTCAGAGAATTGATCTCAAACTCTAATAATGCTTTGAACAAGATTCACCGTGAATTTTTAATGGAACCTCTCAAGCTCGACAGCGAGGAATTGTACATCAAGATTATACCAAACAAGAACGATTGTACGCTGACCATCATTGATAATGGTATTGGTATGACCAAGACTGATTTAATGAACAACCTTGGAACAATTGCAAAGTTTGAAACTAAGACTTTTATATTTGAGTTCCAAGCTATTACTAAAATCTCTATCGGTCAATTTAGTATGGGGTTCCACTCTGCATACCTTGTAGCTGATAAGGTAACTGTTACTTCCAAGCATAATGATGACAGACAATACTTGTGGGAATCCAGCGGAAATGGATCATTCACTATCAAATATGACAACAGTGAGTCATTAGCACGTGGTACAAAAGTTGTTCTTTACATTAAGAAAGATCAATCCAAATATCTAGAAGAAAGCATGATCAAAGAAATCATCAAAAAGCATTCTGAATTTACTGAATATCCGATCAAATTGCTCGTGCAAGAAGAACTCAATAACATAAAATCTATCTGGACCAGGAATCCTAATGACATTACTGAAAACGAATATGATAAATTGTATCAGTCGCTTACCTATGATTGGGAAAAATATTTGACTATGCGACATTTCACTATGAAGGAAGGTCAAGCGAAATTCACAGCTATACTCTTTGTTTCATGTCATTTACCACTCGAGATGTCGATATGCGATAGAAAGAGCTTCAAATTGTACGTTAGACGCGTATTTATCATGGATAACTGTAAAGAACTATTACCAAACTATCTGAATACCTTCATAACAGGCGTTGTTAATAGCGAAAATTTGCCCATCAATATCTCTCGTGAAATGCTGCAACGTAACAAAATTTTTAAGATCATTCGTCAGAATCTCATAGAAAAATGCTTGGAAATCTTCGATGGATTTGCGAAAAATAAAGATGTTTACAAAATGTTCTATGAGCGATTTTATCATAACATTAAACTCGGGGTTTATGAAGACGATATTAATCACAATAAATTAATACAGCTTTTAAGATACTATACCTCTGCATCCGGCGATGAGATGTGCTCATTGAAAGATTACATCAGCAGGATGAAGGATAACCAAAAATATATTTACTTTATCATTGGAACGAGTAAGGAGGACGTAGTGAATAATTTATTCGTCGAACACATAAAGAAGCGCGGTTTTGAAGTGATTTACATGCTTGACATATTGGACGAATACATATTTGAACGAGTGGAACAGTTTGATGGAAAGCAGTTCATGTCCATTACCCCAGAGAATTTGAAGCTTCTCGAGGATGAGATCGAAAAGAAGAAGCATGAGGAGAATAAATTTGCCAAGTTTGAGAACTTGTGCAAAATTATAAAGAGCGTCCTGAAATATGAAGTGGAAAAGATTGTGATCTCCAATAGATCTATCAATTTGCCTTGCTACATTGTGATTTCACAATGTGATTGGACCCCCAGTATAAAGGATGTCGTAGACAAGCACATCCTGCCCAAATCCGAGATAGCATCCATAATAGCAAAAAAGCAGCTCGAAATCAATCCTGATCACGTCATCATTGAGAAACTTCGAAAAATGACCAACTATAATCAAAACGATAAATATGTTCATGATATTGTGAACATATTGTTCGGAACTGCTCTTCTCTCGTCTGGTTATATCCTGAAGAAACCAAAACTGTACGTCGCTGGCATCTATAGGATGGTCCAACTGATATTTAAAGATAATGTGATTGCGAATAATGAAAATATGGAAAAAGTAGATTAAGCTTTGCATATAATAGAATTTTTATAATATTTATAATATAGCAGAAAAAAACTGCATTAACATATGACTGCATTTGATTGGGTCATCTATTTAATAAATAATTTTTATAATATTTAATAATATGATATCATACACAAATTTTTACATATCATATATATTTTGTTATTGTCCTCCAAAAATTTCTACTTTCTGACAAATATATTATTCCCTTACTATATTATTATATTATTGTCACTAAGCAAAATAATATCAAAATTAGTACTTTAATTAATTAATACTATATATTTAAATTTAAGATATCATACTTAATGTTAAATTATTAAAAGATTTGCATTAATTTTATAGAAGTTAATTAAAATTAAACCAAACATTTCCATATTGTCTTAAATATGGATATTTATCATAAATTTAATATTAGTCTTTTCTTTTTGTAAATCAGTATCTTGAAATTATTTAATATAGAAATCAATCAATCTTATTATACAAAGAATAAATTATTCAAGAATTGATAAAAAGAAAGAAAACTAAATATCAGTAATATGAATAAAAAACTAAACTAGAATATGTTTTAATGCATCTTGAATTCTAGTATCGGATTTTTCTCTCTGCTATTATGTTTAATATTTAATAAATACATTCATTAATAGACAAAATGTTAATTTTCTGTCATGAAATTGTTATAAATTACATAAAATATGTAGAAACATGTGTATAAATACCTTCAGATTACTTTCGAAGAATTTTGACGATTAGGGATTCAATTCAATATAGATTGAATTTCTTTTATCTCAATTATTTTCGCAGGAATGTAGTTTTTAGATCAATCGTGTGCGTCAGATATTTTTTAAAACTCGCTCTTCTCTAATGTACAAATATTTAATTATTAAATGCCGATTGCCGCGCCGGGCTCGTCAAAATAAGGTTAGTCAAAAGAATCTGTCAAAACGCCATCTGTATACTGCACGACGATGCGTCGAGAGGAGTACTTCTGCTGCGGACGAAATTAGTCGTGTGGGATATCGCGCTGCCTTATTCCTTAAAGCAAACAAAAAAATTATGATGGCAAGCAAAGTTTGGAAGGTCAGTACTGCCGACTGCAATGCGATTCGCTGTCGTAAATCGCCTTCATGGTGATTTCGCACAAAGGACATTTACGCAGTATGTGACTCTGAAGCCGCCTCTGAGGGTACTGACGCGATCTTTTCGCAGGTGGTCCAGCCGCACGTGCCGATGATCAAGTTTCGGAAGGGCGGCATTAATCACGCAGGTAACTTAGATAAAATGGGAACGCACAATGCGCGACGATTGAAAAAAAAAAAAAAAAAAATATCCCCCCGATACTGATATCCGTGTTTATCTGTTGCAGCAGTTGCGGGCACGACGGCCGCTCCATCTGCGAGATCGTCAGGACCGTCTCAGACGCAGCAGAGCGCGGGTAATGCTACGGGCCCTCGGGTGATTGTTCTGCCGACGATTGAAGACCTTCACCTGCCGCCGCGATATCAAAGACAGCCGATAGATGAAAAGGAAATCGAATATATTAATGTAAGTTGCGAGATGAATCGTTGTTGAGGGATCTTGAGATGGCATCCAATCACTTGGAAATTATTTTTTACTCATTTACTTAATATAAGAGTAGATATAATATATATTATATAATTTATTTAAAAAAAAAATGTTTTAATTATTTTATATTTATTATATATATCTTGTGTGTTTTTATATGTTACAGCGTGGTGGGCCAGAATGAGCTTGCAGCGCAAGTATTTAGGATCTTGTAAATCTATGCAATATCATAACTTATATCATAAATGAATTAACTGTGTTATTGATTGGTAAGACGCAATGCGCCGTGTTCAAATAAATAAACGTGACGGGAGAGATTCCGCGCTGCGAATATTATTTTATATTTATGTATCTCAGCCACACATATCGGGCAAGGTCTTTTGTGACACTGCCAGGGCCTGCTATTTCTGGCACGACTCTTAGCTCCATTCCTGTAACACCCAATACGTGTTAATTCTAGATCTCTAAGGCACAATGAGATTTTAGTAAAATACTTTATTTAAACACTAAATTTTTCTACTTGTGCTTTTTTTGATATATAGTTAAAGTAAGAGAGGAGGAATTTTATTTTTACATTTGTTTTGTGTAATAAAAAAACCTTATCTTAAACATATCTTGAACTTGAAAAAATCTAAATAGAAATCTATTTGGCATTGATTATAATATAATTTTTTTATGAATATAAATATAACTTTAGATGTGTTGAAACGTAAAACTATCTTCAAGCATCTTTTAATATAATTTAATTTCCGTAATTATATGTAATTTACTATTTGTGTGCTGTAATTTTTTTATTGGATATGATCCTCTCTTCTCTGATAACGACATCTTGATACAGCCCTGTAGCAGTATGACAAAAATAGCAGACGACAGTACGCTGCGGCGGCCCTCATCTCGTCTTGCCGTGCCTGGACGTGAGTGCGGAGGAAGATTAGCGATCCGTTTATAATTTTATCGAAGTTTTGTCAAAGCGCGAAACATTTACGAACGACGAACCCATTACGAAAATGGCCGAGATAACAGATTTCGGACCGAAAAAGACGATTTTTATACTCGCGATTGTGGCTAGCTGTTTCGCGGTATTATGGCCGAAAATTTTCTACCCTATGCTCACAGCATCTGTCACTCCACATCAGCCTACGACAGACAGTTCTGGTAAGATTCCAATGTTCACGTGTGTAAGATTGTTAATAATGTTAGAAAATTCTCGCTAAAATTATTTTGTGTTCGGATAGTTTAGATTATATTTTTTTATCTATTTTGTCTATAAATAACTTAAATTTTTATGTCTCACATGTGTACATAGAAAAAGTTAAGTAGATAGGAATTATATCTAAATATCAAATACGTTGCAAAATATTCTTTTTATACTGTATACAGTTATTATGCGTAGTGTGCTGCGAAGTAATATTTGAAAGCGATGTCACTGCAGTGGATATTATGCAAGAAATGTGTCAAAATATATTGAGGCATCATCCAGTTGATCCACGTATCAGAGATGCGTTAAAGCTTAACAAGCTAAGCCCACAAACCGCGAGTTTGTGTAGAGAGGAGGTTCTAGCCAGATGTGGCATAGATTTATCATCTTTTCTCGCTGAAAGGGAACGGTTGGGGAAAACCTACAAACAAGTATTGGAGGAAATTAGATCGTTCAATAGTTCCCTTTGCCTTAAGATGAACTTTGGTATACCATTGTCTCAATTAGGGATACCTCATCTTATTAGATATCATATCTTGATGCCACATAGTAAGAATTGCAAAGATATGCGAATTAATTGTCGCTTAATATTAATAAATCTTTGTGTCATATTCTATTTTAATATATAATTAATTAATTAATTGAAGCTACTTTCATAATAATTTCTTTAAATATATGTGAGTTTGTAATTTTAATAATAGTTTAATATATGCTACCAATAATATTTATATTAATTGAATTTGAATTAACATGCTTGATACATATAATCACACATGTTGACCATATTGTTTGTAAATTGCTTATATAATAAGATAAACTTTGAGAGATATATCTGTAATGTATCACATCATCATATATATATGGAAAATGGCTTTAAATTATCCATTTTGTTTTGGTTGATTGCCAAAAAGTAAGCACATTGGCAGACGATGTTTGGCAGACAAAACATGGAGTTTTAAATACGTTCATACCAATGACCTATTATGTACTTTTCTCATTTAAGTTTTCCATAAAAATCCTAGATTTATTTCATAAAAAAATCATCAGTTGGGCCATATTTATAACAATTTTTCAGAAAATTAATAAAGCACTAATTATATTATATTGTAGTAATTAACACAAGCTTGTACTAATTTCTGGGTGGGCGTTTTGACACAGGATTAATATATTTTTGCGTGGATCAATAGATAAAAATATATTTTACAGATAAAATCCATAGATTTTTTTATGTATACAGATACTATACGACAGGAGCGTCGTACTCCTCCTCACGCAGGCGGAATGCATCCTGCGATGAGAGAGCGGGGAAGGGCCATACCATCCTCTCACATTGTACCAAAAATAATGGATAGATCTGATCGTATTATACCAAAAATGAGGCCACCTCTTGGTGGTGCTGGTCATGTTGTTCCAGCTCCCAAGGGAAATGGTACAATGGGAATTATCATGCCACTATATACAATAGGAATAGTTTTGTTTTTCCTGTACACCATTATTAAGGTAATGTATAAATTTGCAGAATAATCGTGACAAAGATACGAATGCGATGAAATCTAAGAATGTATTATAAATTAAACCTGTCATATATATATATATATATATATATATTTTTTTTTTTAACAGGTCTTGAAAAAAAATTCCGATAGCGAGATTATTTCGGAATATCCAGGGGCAGCTGCTGAAAAGGAATTTCGGAAAATGGTGTTCTCTCCAGAAGCTCTCGCTACTGCAATGACTGGAGGTACGCTACCTTATCCAAGGGAAAAGTCACCATATAGAACTGCACCGACTATAGAGGAGTTGAAGGATCGTAAGTGCTTCTGTGCAAATATTTCTACTATTACAAGCCATGTTTCATTTACATTATCATCAATGCAATGTTTTTCTGAGAAGCTATTTCTTTTGGAGAACTATTTTGGAGAATTAAGATATATATGTCTTCTTGAGTATCTAAACAGATTTTTCAATGGTGTTGCATGATGCAAGGTTTGCACAATTAGAACACACACGTATTTATACACGCGGATATACATTGCAAGATTCTGAATAAAAATGCGCATATATTGTAAGTACTTATACTTATACTTTGTACTACGTTTGATCATGTTCTACATGCTGGAACACAAGAAGCGGCAGGAGACATAGAGATAGATCAACTGAGACAACGATTGGTCGAGACGGAAGCAGCCATGGAAAGAATCGTTGTCCAGATGAGCAACATATCACGTTCAGTAATGCATAACTCGGGCTCACAGCCAGAAATCAAGGTTTATTAAATTAGTTTTGACGCAATTCACAGTTTCAGTTTATTAGTCGTTAGAAAGTATGCACGTTGCTGTGTTCTGATTGCGTTATAAGCTTTACCCATCCAATGTACATTAAACATATTGTACATTTAATATTAAGATTTTATCTTCAATATTTGGCTTTTTTAAATTCCAATGATAAGTGTTGCAAAAATTACAAATCGTTGATTTAAATGTTTATATTATATATAAGATCCATATTGATATATATGCATATATTAGTCGAGTGCGATATTCAATACGAATGTTTAAATTGGAATATATGTATTCAATAATATAGAATTTACGTTATATATTTTATATTTTGAGTAGTAGATGAGGCTCCAAAGTCCAATGGTCTAGCAGGGGTCGATCGCGGTTCTAAGGTACATTCCTTGCCTCCGAAAATATCTCTAACAAGAGTAACCAAGAGTTTGTGGGACACTTTTCATTTTTAGCGCACTAGTTTCACGAATAATGAGTTTATCACGTATAAATGTTTTTTTTACATATGATAGTCTCATTCATATGATTCTGTGATAACAACATTTAAATATTTCAAATGCAGAATTATCATTATCCTTTTGTATAAGTAAGGATATTTTTCTCAGTGCTAAATATTGTTGAGAAACATAAGTTAATGAAATGATAGTTGTTCTTCTTACAGCTTTTTGAAGTGCTAATTGTGTGCCTTGCATGTATATGATACTTGCTTATTTTATATCTTATTGATACAGTATATTATAAAATTAATAAATTAAAGCATAATGGATTGTACAATATTTGCCATGTATAATTATATGATTACACCATGTTTTTTATATAGATGTAGAATCTTTAACATAGCTCTTTTTTTTTAATTCTGTATGGTTTTTATATTAAAAAGCATTGCTTATACATATATAAATAGCTCTTATTAAATTAATCGAAGAAATGGCTTTGAAGTTTTTATTACATAATATGTTATTACTACATATATTTTTGATTTAAAAAATATGTACGAGTAACGAATGAAAAGTGAATAATGAAAAAGTAGCATACTAAGAGTTTAATTTACAGGAAGAGACTACAGTTCCGGAATCACATAGTAGAGAAGATGAAGAGTTAGATGCAGTTGAACAATCACCAACAGTTAAAGTTATGGGTATGGAAATGACAGCTAGTTGTGAAAGTGGACAGAAATGTAGCAGACCTACTACCCCCATTATCCTTACACCAAGGTATTATACTTATCATTCTTTCTTTAACATTTTTTTTATTTTTTTCAGAGAGAGAGAGAAAGAGAGAGTATCTTCTCAATAATTTTTTGACAAAATATATATATTTTCGTCGTATTTTTTATTTCAGTAATGTCGAAAGAGAAAAAACGCCACCAAAACCTATATATTTAGAAGGTGCACTACCGTCGCAATGTGAATTACTCGTAACCGATTCAGAAACACAAGCAGAGAAGTCAGAGGACGACGATGACGCTCCCGTTGTTCTCTCAGGCAAAATGACCCTCTCCCTCATCAGCCTCGACCAGATTCCAGCTGTAAGGAAATATTAGAATTACCAACAGAATCAAATGAATCTGCGGAGCCTTGTTTTATTTGGTGATTCTTTCATTCATTTAATTGTTTGCCTAACTTCTGTATAGGTTACTTAATATAGAGATCACAAATCACAGGAACTAAATGCAGTGCAAAGAATGGTTTCTTGGAAATTACATACATGGGTATGAGTAATGTGCTGATTTCATCATTCATTATTTCTATTCCTATTATTCTCTGTGATTTGTTCTAGATATTAATGACATTAGTGCCTTGTGCCTTTTATTTATGTTATTTATGTTTCACTAATATTTTAATTTTAATGACAAATACACTTGCTTGTTAATAGAAAAATAAAAAAATATTTCTGAACTAGATCACCAAACTCTTGAAACTAATTTTACAGTTTGGCAATCTATTTCAGGAACAATCTATATTGTTTAATGGAGGAGTGTGTTCTTTGTCTATAAGAACATGTAATTTATGTTTATTTAATATGTTGTTTTTTTATGTCGATGTAAGCAAATTATATATTATCTGACTAAATGGAATGAATTTACTTTTAATTTTATTTTTATATTTGTCTTGATACAAAAACTTAACTCTTTTTATACATAATGCTAATGAAATTATGTCATGCAAATTGCCTTTTGCAAGAAACAACACTGCAGCATTAATTAAAACTACACTTATATTAACATATTAACATTACATACGTATCAATATTAGTATGATATATTTAAGATATATAATATTTTATATTTTAAATATTGTTTCAAACGGTTATTACACAAAAATAAAGTATAATACATAATTTAATTGAGTCATGTCTTTTTTACAATTAATGATAAAAAAAAGATAAAACAAAAAATTTACTTGTTTAATAATGTCTAACTTTTTATGATATTTTTTTCACAGATATAATGATATGCATGTTGCAAAACATAAATGTACTTTTTCTTTTTTTTTTTTAATTAGAGGAGCGATAAAAAAAAATTATGTGTTTTTATATTATTCTGCATGTAAAAGTATTGAATGAAAAATGAATATTTGTCAAGGCGCATTCTAAATTTTGTAATTACACGTGTTTATTATGTGGAAAGGTGTTCTTTCAAATATTCCACTGCTGCACGCATAATAAAGTCTAGTGTGTTTGTAAACATTCAAGAACCTATCTTTCAAATCACATCATATTCTACAAACTCAACAATTAATCGGTTTATGATAGCTAAAATAGTTGAACATATAGTTTAAAATTTGAATTTGTTAGAAAGAAGATTAATAGAAACGTATTATAATGGTATTTTATTTTATAAATAATAAGAAAATATATATAGATCTCTGTGTGTTCACTATTATTTTAAATAATTAATAAAGGTTTTTTCTGCAGTTAATCTCAAATAATATCGTTATTATATACTGATTAACATGGAAATAATGATTTGTACATTTTGTATATTTGTACACTTCTATCTTGTTTATTAGAAATTTAAAAAAAGATACTTTTATATGCTTCAGTTAAAGAATTAAATCGTTCCATTTTTTCCTTTACTATTGTTTCTTAATCATAAAAAAGATCTGACTCTATTAAAAAGATTACACGAAACACTCGTCTTGTATTGTACAAACAATTTTATATTGCTTTCATTTGTTTTATAATTTAAGACATAATTGTAATAAGAACGATATCTAATACGTAGGATTCAGAGGATGAAGGTCGAAATGGAAAGGAAAAAAAACCCTTGAAAAAGAAAATAAATGCAGAAGTTGAGAATGTACCAAACAAAAAATCAAAGTTGTGGCAGAAAGAAGAAAAGGAGGAAGATGAAGAAGGAGAGGAGGAAGAAGAGGATAAAGAAGAAGAGGAGGTAGAGGAAGAGGAGGAGGTAGAGGAAGAGGAGGAGGTAGAGGAAGAAGAAGAAGAGAAAATAGAGGAGAAGAAAGAAGAGAAGGTAGAGGAAGAGGAAGAAGAGGTAATAGAGGAAGAGGAAGAAGAGATAATAGAGGAAGAGGAAGAAGAGAAGGTAGAGGAAGAGGAAGAAGAAGAGGAAGAGGAAGAAGAGAATGTAGAAGAAGAGGAAGAGGATATGGAAAAGGAATCTGAGGATGAATATGAAGAAAAGGATTGAAGAGGAGGAATCAATCTTCAATCCAGATGAACATGACGAAGAATACTGGAAAAATATGGAAAGTAAAATGAATAAAAAAGAAACCAATCTAGAATAAAAAGGCTAACAATTTTGTTTCTTTAGGCAAATCAGTGTTTACCAATCTTTAAAGATTGATCCCTTTATTATAAAAAGCTACAGAATTATTACAATAATTATAAGAAAGCTAATATATAAATATACTCACGATATAAAAATACATAAACTTGTTGATTAAGCACTGCCAAATACCTAAAATGTATGTCTTATATGTATTACCAAATTTTCATTTTTTTAACCGTTATATTTAACATTTTATAGAATCATAAATTTATTGACTACAGGGGCCAAAAGAAAGAGAGGCAGTGCTATCTATGTCATATTACATTGGCATAGACACTTTAATTTGTAACACATGTTATAGGCCATGTTATTACTCTATGTACTTAAAAAGTCATTTATGAAATGTCTTTTAAATCTTGCAAATGCCAAGAAAACAAAAAAAAAATAATAAGAAGAAGAGTTATGAATTTTTTTCCAAATGTAGTATACAGCATAGATATCAAACTTGAATCAGTGTTTACCAATCTTTAAAGATTGATCCCTTTATTATAAAAAGCTACAGAATTATTACAATAATTATAAGAAAGCTAATATATAAATATACTCACGATATAAAAATACATAAACTTGTTGATTAAGCACTGCCAAATACCTAAAATGTATGTCTTATATGTATTACCAAATTTTCATTTTTTTAACCGTTATATTTAACATTTTATAGAATCATAAATTTATTGACTACAGGGGCCAAAAGAAAGAGAGGCAGTGCTATCTATGTCATATTACATTGGCATAGACACTTTAATTTGTAACACATGTTATAGGCCATGTTATTACTCTATGTACTTAAAAAGTCATTTATGAAATGTCTTTTAAATCTTGCAAATGCCAAGAAAACAAAAAAAAAATAATAAGAAGAAGAGTTATGAATTTTTTTCCAAATGTAGTATACAGCATAGATATCAAACTTGCTGATTGGCAAGCACTGATACAATTCGTACAAAAGCCAAAAATCTAGTTTTTCTTTTTTTTACTACAAAAACAGGGTTCTTGTTCGTAAACTGCTTCATTTACTAATCGTTTTTTAAATATTTAATTTTATATCAAGTTGTAGCATTTTGTCTTTACATTTTTAGTTCTTTTTTAGTATAAAATTTCGTAATAAACTCTTTTTGATTTCTGTTTATTTATTGTATTATTGAAAATGTTTTATCATTTCAACCAACATTTCTGATCTTGATTTCTAACTGTAGATTGAAAATATATTTGTTTAAAATACATTAAAAGTTTGTATAAATAATCTATAATAATATTTAATACATAATAATAATATTTTATCACATATAAAACTTAATATTTTTAAAAAAATGTAATCTGGAAAAAAATAAAAACCGAATATCTCTGTTCTCTGTTTATTTTAGGGTAATTTGTAGAATCCAATAAATTTTATTTTATTACTCTTATTTGTTTTTACATAAAAGTCAATAATAATAGCAAACTAGTCAAAAAATAGGGCATAGAAAGAGAAAATAGAATAAAAAATGCAAATGTTATAAATCATAGAAAGGTATAGTTGATTAAAATATTATACAGGCAAATATAATATTATTAGCAATATTCTTTGTATACAGTTATATTTTATATTACGTAAAAATGTTACTGTTTTCATAATAATATCACACATTTAAACACTTATGAACAATATTAAAAAACGCAATTTGACTAAATAAAATGCAGCGCATCATTTATAACAATGAATCTTTTTAATATAAATTAAGTGGTTGCATTTTTTGTGAAATTGAAAATTCTTTTATAAAAACATATTTATTCATATATCTATTTAGATTTCTTCAGCTCTTATAGCCAAAACTATTTTATTGTAATGTAGAAATATTTATGCAAAATTGTTATTATATAGAATTTAATTTGTTTGTATTTATTATTAGAAAATGCAATGTAGATAAATTTTAGTAACAAAAAATAATTCGTGAGGGGTAAAGTATTTTGATTTATATATGTTATTATATATATAGGATATTATAACTATTACATATAATATATAGAGTGTATAGTTTTAAAATTGATTTCTCTTATATTAAAAATTAAATACCTAATCATATGTAATATATAAAGACATTTATAAATACAAAGTGCTATTAATTACATATAGTGACTATATGTATATATTGTTATTAAAAAATCAGATATAATAATATATATATATGTGTGTGTGTGTGTGTGTATTTGAAAATCTTATTCATTTTTAAATAAAAAATACAGATTTAATTTTAGTTAAGATTCTTCTTGAAAAACAGGTATTCAAAAAATTGTTCTTTTTTTTATTATTTCATTACTTTTGTTAATTTCTTCACAAATAATTTTATAATCTTGCAACTATGAAAGATGAAGGTACGAATACTAAATTATGAAAGTACGAAATTATGTACACAAAAAATGTGCGAATATGATGTTTCTAATATATATTTTTTAATATTTGTGTTATTCAAATACATATATCTTATGAAAGTAAGATGCATAAATCATAATATTAATTATATATATATATTATTAACGCAATTTGAAAAAAATTATATATTTTTTTATGAAAACTAAATTTATCTCAAATTTTGTAGATTGATATAATTTTCTTTATTTATTTCACATTTGATTTGATTCTCCAGATTTAATCTCCAGTCTCCATATATATACACAATCTCATCATAAAATCATAATACAGTGTACACATTCAAAACCTCCATATACTCCATATAACCTGTTTCACTTCAGTTTTCTTTTGACTTCCGATCTTTCGAAAATATAAAAAACAAACATTTTTCTCATATACAAATAATATTTCGGTTTAAATTTCTGCATGTCCCCTGCACTTCTTTTATAATATACGTGATAAATCATGATAAATTTTGTTAAAAAGTGAACGCGTAACCTGTAAATAGTTTCCTCATATTTTTTTCATTGTTATTATATTTTATATTAATTATATTCGCGTGTTGAGACAACATATCTGACATTGAAAGCAGATGAACAATAACACGTGAGACATAAGTGATGATCGAATATTCATGCTACTGGATCAAGCGCGTTAGAACAGAGAAGTACTTTGCACGTTTCTTCCGTGGAAAATTTGATAGATGAGAATCCCACGTTTTATCCGTAATGTTCTGATAGGCATCCCGATTGGGATTGCTTTTTGTGACACAGTTGGATATGTTGCAAAAGTGGAGGGCATCTCTATGCAACCTGCATTGAATCCAGATTTACGGTATCCTGATTATGTATTCTTAAATCGTTGGGCTATCCGGAATCAAGATATAAAGCGTGGTGATATAGTCTCTATCACATCTCCCAAAGTGCCAAATCAAACACTCATCAAAAGAGTTGTAGGACTTAGTGGAGATATTGTGGACACGAATGGATATAAGCTCAGCGTTCTTCAAGTATGGATGTGATACATAACTGTTGGCATATGATAATGTTGGGGCTTTAATAAACTGATATCGGCTATGTTTTATTATTTTTTATCTGTGAATAAATTATGATATTTCGAATACAGGTACCACAAGGTCATTGTTGGGTGGAAGGAGATCACATTGGGCATTCTATGGACTCTAATATCTTTGGACCAATTTCTCTGGGTTTAATAACAGCGAAAGCTACATATATAGTTTGGCCACCAAGTAGGTGGCAACAGTTATATTCTACAAAGTTTAATCATGAGAGCTGTTAGCTTTGTAAAGAAACTGCAATGGGAATTACCTGGTACTGTATGCAGGTAAGTTAAATTATCACAGACTCTGTTAGTATTATAAATTACTTGAGAGTACAAATTATTTGAATATTATGTATAGGCATGGCTTAACAATAGGAGATGTCGACAATGATGGTGACAATGAATTGGTTGTCGGTACTGCTGAAGGAGAACTTTACATCTTCAAGGTAAACATTGATGGTAATACTATTAAAAATTTTGTTTTAAAGCTATATATAATATTTATTCTCTTGTATGGCAGGGATCAGAATTATGGCAGAAGATCACTGGTCTTGGTCTTATAACCAGTGTAGCAATTGGAGATATTTTTAATTATGGACGCAATGCACTTGTTGTCATCTGTGGTGATGGATGGACACATATATTTTATAGTCCTAGATCTGTCAATCCTAATAATGCAAATGTACCTGTAAGTCAACATGTTGGCAAAGATGCAAATGAGCAAGACAACTTCAAAACGAATATCGGTGAGTGTGAGTTTCAGAATGTAAACAGATATGCTTTATGGAATAGTGCAAAAAAGCTTAGTTTTTGCTCTAGACAACTCACATAGAATATATATGTGTAGATATAATAAATTCCCAAAACTTGGAATATATTGACAATACAACTGAAATTAATGAACTCTCTGGAAAAATGGAATGTGTGCATGTACAAAGAATCCCAACCAATACAAAGATAGTATTGATAGCTGATGTTGATAAAGATGGTGCCAACGAGATGATTCTTGGTCTGACAGATCGTGTTGTTAGATCCTATAGATGGTCAAGTAATGCTGACTTAGGAACGGGAAAATTGATTGGCCTAAATAAATGGGAATGCACCAATCAAATAGGAACAGTTACACTGCAGGTATGCTAAATTATATATGATGGTCATTATATAATTAAATTAATATTGGTTATAATATAGAAAGATATATTAAGCAGAGATGCTGATATACAAACATTTTTATTTAGCATACTGGCGATGGTACACCAACTCTGCTGGTTGCACAACCCGGTGGTACATTTATGCGGATTAAATGCAACCCTGCTGATTGCCACTTAAAGGATACTTCTTGCGAAGCTGTTGATTATCAAACATTAGGAATATCTAGGATGCGTAATCAAAATATTTCAACTGAGATTATCGGAGATTTAGAACCAGGAATGACGCCGTTTATTTCGACGCTTGAGCCTAAAATGTCTAATTATATGCTTAAAGATAAATCGTCGAAGCAAAATTTTGCAGACGACAGCCAATTGGGTATGAAAACCTTCAAATCCGCATCGCTCGAATTCAAAAGAAATCATTCGCAACCCGTGATTCGGAAAAATAGTCTGGATATGACAGGCGAATATACTAGAGATTTTACAACAGAGAATCAACAAGTAGTTAAATTTTATAGTCCTGCCGATTCTTCCAGTACTGATGAAGTGGATGGCAACTTTATCGGTGGCAAAGTTATTCACAGAGAATTCAAGAAAACGACAAAAAACATGTTGTTACCATCTTTTAAGGATTTTTCCTTCGATGATAAAAATAAGAATAAAAGTAATAATAATAACAATGATACTAGTAATATGAATCAACATGAGAAAAAAGATAACAAATCGAATAATAAAATTAGTAGTGAAAGTGCTCCGAAAGGAAAACCTTATGCTTTGGCAACACTTGATGGAACTATTATGTTAGTGCAAGATGAAATTATTTTATGGTAAGCGATTACATATTTAAATATATTTGTATAATTTACAAAATATATCGCATTATGTTCTCTTTTCTTGATAGGGCTATGCAAGTAGATCATCAGATATTCGCTCTATGTCGATTGGATGTCACAGGTAATAATTCCGATGAGATAATCGCCTGTGCTTGGGATGGTCAGACCTACATCTTAGATCAACAACGGCACAGCGTACGCTTTCAGTTTGAGGAACCGGTCAGAGCTTTCTGTACGGGAAATTACAATGTGACTCCGGGAACATCTAGTCCCAGTTTAGTGTACAACACTTTTAACAACAAGGTTTTTATACACATATACGAGATACTACACAAGCATAATTGAAATAATTGATCGTCGTTAATGATTATGATCTTTTATTTCTTCCAGATCTTTCTTTATTACGATGTTATTCTTCCGAGCATGACGATCAATGCTTTGAATCCCATGAAGGATTTTGAATCTGACGAAATACAGACCTTAAAGGAATTAGTTGGCGAGTGCAGTACTAACCAGAAACAGCGGAAGATGCAACAATTAACCGAATGGCTGTTATACGGCGTACATTAGCATATGGAACAGATAATATATAGGAGCAGGGAGATATGTAATAAAATATGCATATTCTAAAATATGCATTGAATTATTTTTGTTCTTTATATTTCTAACATTATATTAATAATGTTAGAAATGAAAATAAATCGATCGAATATATTTGTCCCTGAACGCGTCTAACCAATTTTAAATTAAAAATATCCGATAATGCTTGTAAAGCGAGATTTTTCTTTGGTATCTTTCATATTTCGTATCGATAGAGTGAAAAGTCTTATGCGGTCATTCTATGGGATGTACTGCGTTATCGCGAAGAATATACGACCGACGAAAAGTTGATCTAATTTCTTGGCAAACAAGAGGCTAATGATATCAGCGAAATTAATTTTGGTAGAGTGCAGCGTAAAGTTGCCTATTTAAGGATTCTCGCCTATTTGCGGAATCTTCCGAATCACAGCATTTTATCTACAATGCCATAAATCGGACTGACATTGCACCGAGTATCAGCCCAACATATAGTATCGCATTGCATGTTATCATTGTCAGTGAGTATGTAGATTTCGTCAGGTACTTTTCCAAATTCCTGCGAGGCTGTTTTATTAGATATATATACATGATCAGACCGTGGACACGTAAGCTGCATTTTTCCGAAATCCGATGTCGTTTTAGTGCCGGAATAGTGCATTCAAACATTAATTCAAACCGCCGTATCAGACAAGTAGAAAGGAAATAATCGAAATATAATAAATGTAAGTATAATCGGCAATATGTAACATATATTTGCAAAATTTCGATGCGCGCAGAATTTAGAATAAGATTATCTAAATTTATTTCTATTTGAATATAAAATAATAATTTTGTGTTTGACATTTCTCGACAAAAGTTAATTAAGAAATTCGCGTAAGAAATGATAAAAGAGGATGAATATTAAATATCATTAAATATTATACGCGATGCATGTGACACTATTAAGAGAGACGTATGTGCAGCAAACCATGACGGACGATTAGAAATATTTCCAGTTTAATAACCCGGTTTAGTTACCGTTCATATACAGCGGAAGACCGGTAATGCATAATCTCACTTTCTACTTTGCAACAAGAGAAAGAGAGTTCTCGGTGTTCTAAAACAAATTTAAACGTAAGATAGTTTAACGACTGCATCTTACGCGCGTGTATTCATCTGAAACGTGTCGCGGATATTCGAATTTCTACAATACGCAGTTCATCAACGGGAATTAACAAATCCAGGATGATCACCAATGGCACGGAATCGTTTTTTGCGGGTCACGAGTTGAAGGAACTCACCTTCGGATGGACCGACTACATCCTGTTCGGTGGTTTGCTGGGCATCAGCATTCTCATCGGCATTTACTTTGGCTTCTTCAGCACAAAACAGGACAATACTACCGAGTATTTGCTCGGCGGCAAAACCATGTCCTTTCTTCCGATTAGCATGAGCCTCATAGCCAGGTGACTTAACATGTATTTCACGCATTTTGCCATTCCCAATAATGTCTTCATCAAGAGTAGGATAACCTGTTTAATTAGAAAAAAAATATAATTTTAATTTTTTATTATTTATTTGAGGCCAGCTATCTCCGCGACCATTTTTTTAGATAAAATTTTTACTCTGTATAAAAATATAATATTACCTATACTAATTTAATTATGTCTCAAGTTTAAGGAAAGTTAAACTTAAAAATTTATTTTACACGAAATATCTTAAAATCGTTGCAATTATAGTAAAAGTTTGGCAAAATGAAGATTGTCAAAAGCGAGGAATGTCTAAAATAAAAGTAAGGCCTCGCTTTTGTTTTGTAATACTATTATAAATTAAGACGAAGTACTGAAGATGGCCAAGAGCATTAATTGAGCTTACGTACTTTCTAAACTTCAAATTGAGATTCTGATAAAATAAGATTTACCTAAGATTAATTGAAGAATAAGATTTCATTAAAGATATCTAACAGGAGATGTATTAGAAAATACCCTGTATAATTTTATTAAAACAATCGTTTTATATTGAGAGTGCGAAGAAAATCCATTTCTAATGGGGATTAAATTTATTTCAGTCACATATCGGGGGTGTCTTTGCTCGGCGTGCCCTCTGAAGTGTACCAGTACGGGACTCAATATGCAGCGTGCATTTTCACATCCTTCATCTGCTGTCTCCTAATCATATTATTATATCTGCCGGTGTTTTACAAGCTACAGCTGAAAAGCACTTTTGAATATTTGGAAATTAGATTCGCCAGGCCCGTTCGGATATTAGCATCCTTTCTCTTCACCCTTTCGTTGGTGATTTATGTGCCGCTGATAATCTACGTGCCGGCATTAGCCTTCTCGCAAGCAACGGGAATGAATCTGCATTATGTTGCGCCAATGATATGCTTGGTGTGCATTTTCTACACGACTATCGTAAGTGAAACAAATTTATATATATATTGTAGCGATTTTAATTATCGTTATAAATTTTGAATCTTTATGATAAACATTTTTTATCAAAGATTGTAAAGTCTGTATTGTACTTAAATTTTTAAGGAAAAAAAAACGTTTAATATATTTGCAAGTTTAAGAAAGTTTCTTTGAGAACATTTCTGATACATTTATGAGGTTTAATAGACAACAGATTCCATTCAATTGCATTTGAATAAAGAATACGAATGAATGCTGTTATCGTGTATATGAATGCTATTAACATTCGCACGTGCTGCATATTGAAATAGAGATTATCAAGATCATAGAAATTGTACAATAACCGTGTCTAAATTAGCTAGAAGATCGTGAGGGTCCCGAAATAAAACATCCATAACGTTTTTACATGTCATGTTGAAGCTGTGGCATTATCAGATATCTTAGTCTATTTAGACGAAACGTACAGCTGTGACAGTTAAATGAATGACTATTTAGAGTAGAATTATCTAAAGGTTTGCTGAAAACGCAACTGTGGCCTTATCATTTTTAAAAATTGGATTATTTATGATGCAGCATCGCGCGATGCGACAACAGAATAATGATTATGTCGCCACGTCATTTGAATAAAATACACAAAAGCAATGACAAGATTTGGCGTCTATTTATCTTTGTCTTTCGTTTATTTGACAATAGTATACCAAATATTCACATGATTTGCAGTAGATACATGGATTGTTTACAAGTAGGCGTTAGAAATAAGTCTAATACCTTGATAGAACAGATTAATAAGAATATGTGCTAATGGAGAATAAACGCTTTTTAAACATGTCTGATATAATTGTTTATCTAAAATGGAACCTAGATAACTTGACGCGTGGCGTCAATTGTGTTACATATTGCGCGTAATACACTATAAAATTAGTATGAAAAATTCTTTTTAAAATAAACAAGCTTTTTCAATATATAATATATATATATACGATAAGACATTCATATATCGATAATGATTTATAAAATACACAAATCACGGCGCTCCATTGTAACGTCATTATGCAGTTGTGCGTTACGATATCTTCCCCCGGGTTTACGTTTCACCGACTCCCCAATCGTACAGTTTGATTCTCCGCACGTCGCGCCGTGAGTGACACTGATACCTTTATTGTATCGCGAGTAATCTCTTTTTGAAAAAAACTTATAGGGAGGTCTGAAGGCTGTCGTATGGGCGGATACGGTTCAGATGACGGTGACTATCGGAAGTCTCGTTGCCGTTCTGATTTTGGGAACTATCGCCGTGGGCGGCATCGGCGCGACCTGGAGAATAGCCGAAGAAGGTGGTAGAATTGTGTTTTGGAAGTAAGAACGGTATTTTTGTATATACTTTTTATCGTTACTTTTTCATTACAATCTATTAACAAGAGATGACCATTATTAAAAATGAAACGAGACTGCGGATATACAAGTATTGTGTAAATTCGTGTGTTGCTTTATCAAGTACCGCACATCAATGTCAGTTAATTAAATTGCGTCGATTGCGTTAATGTAAACCAATTTCGGAATATTATTCCGCGCTGTGTTTCAGCTTTTCTAAATACTAAACTGCATTGTGTATGTTATATTATATCAGCTCTTCAAATATTAAATGCTGTTCATGCATCTACATACGCGTTTTATAACTGTATAATACGCTGTTATATAGCTGTTATAAGTTGAGATAATAATGTATAACAACATATGCAAGTTTATTCAACGTCCAATCTATAAAATGCTAATCACGATTAATAACGTGACATAACTGTATTGAACTCCTACTATAAATTATATTAATTATATCTCTTTTACAGCATGAACCCTAGCCCTTTCATTAGAAATTCGTTTTGGGGTATGTCAGTGGGAATGACAATGACGTGGCTGGCATCGCTGGGCATTAACCAAGTTTCTATACAAAGATTTCTGGCAGTGCCTACCATTAAAGAAGCGCAAAAGTAAGTGCGCGAGTACCAGAATTGCTCGAGACACGTAACAATTGTTTTATACAGGTATTTTCGTAGGTCAATATGGTTCCTAGCTGTAGGTCTAGTGGTCGTAAAATTTATCTCCGTCTTCACCGGTCTCACAATGTACGCAAGATATCATAAATGCGATCCCATAACTGCACACGTAAGTTTTGACATTTATTAGCTTCTAGCTTACTACCTGCTAAGCTCCCTGTATATTCTCAGATATGAAGAATGCTTGATAAAAATTACATGAAATTTTAAGAACATCTTTCTTTTTGAAAATCATTCTTTTTGAGATTTTAATATGTAAGTAATTGATTTTTTATTACATTTTTAGATAGCAATAAATAAGTTTTAGTCTTAAGACTCATAATAAAATGGTTTCTTTTATTTTTATTTCATAAAATGAATTTTCTTTATTAAATTTATTTATAAACTCTTTAGTTTGGCTTATCTCTTTTAGTCATATTCTTATATCGCATCTCGTGTAGAGATAAATCGTGCAATTAAAGTAAGATTAAAAGGTCAGACACTTAAAGGATTAAATAAAAATGCCTCTTATAAAGATTCCACTAAGGGAATTAACTTGTTTTCAGGTGGTAGCAAGGAGCGACAAGATATTGCCGTATTACGTGTTAGATGTAGCCGCGGATGTTCCAGGACTTCCTGGCCTCTTCCTCGCCGGTCTGGTGAGCGCCGGTCTCTCGACGATGAGCGCCGGACTGAACACAGTCGCCGGCACGATTTACGAGGATTTCATCGATCGCTGGATGCCAGAGAGCAACGACAAAGAGACTAAAGCTGCCAACATTATGAAGGTACAAAGACGGAACATATTATGCGGATTCAAAATCGCGGTAAAAACAAGAGACTTTCAGTCTCTTTTCTTTTTCCGTAATGCAATATTATTAAGTGCGATTCATTAAGTAAAAATAATCTGGATACATGTATATGTATCATCATTTTAGCAAAAATTCAATCTCTTATAAATAGGCGATATAAGCAATGCATTCCACACAATGGTTTATATCATCCTCAGGTCACGGTGGTTATCTTAGGCATCCTGTGCGTGGGCATGGTGTTTGTCGTGGATCGTCTCGGGGACATCTTCCAGCTATCCATGACTGTCACCGGAATCACCGCCGGTGCGATGCTGGGCTTGTTCTCGCTGGGGATGCTGGTACCTTGGGCGACGACTAAGGGGGCAGTAGCCGGCGGACTGGTGTCGATGATGACGATGATCTGGATCATCGTTGGCGCGCAATGGCATATGGTGAACCGTCGTCTCTACTACGAACCGCTGCCATCTACGACGGACGGTTGCCTGAACTTGCCTGGTCTGAATCGTACGATTGCAACGGCGCAGAATCTTTCGGTTCAAGTCGAATCCGCGGACGAGCCTTTCTTCATGTACAGGATATCCTTCATGTACTACACGTTATTAGGCGCTCTGATTGTGATAGTGATCGGAACGATAGTCAGCTTCGTCTGCGGCGCTCCTGACTTGGGCGACGTCAATCGAGATCACTTGACACCATTCGTCACCAGGTATGTGTTCGAGTACCTCGTTATGGTTTTGAAATAGAATATATAAGGAATATAAAAGAAAAAGATATTTTTTCCCAACCATTTAATCGAAATCTATCATTATAAAAATTATTCTATTCACTCCAATTTCATACATATATATATTTTATAATTGACGAAAAGTAGATAAAGTCAAAAAAAGATTGACTATATCTGTCCATTTCGCTATCTTGTATAAAAATCATTATGGTGTTAAAGATTTAAGTGAGATTCTGAAATTCAACTTATTTTAAATATTTTTATCATTTATGCATTTATACATACTCGTATATATTTATTGTTTGTTATTTTTTTATATGTGTATATTATTATATTTGCAGATTTATGCCACCAAAAAAATATATGGAGGTGTCGTTGCACACAGTACCGACAACGCTGGTAACCAATTTAGAGAAAGAAGAACTGAAATCTTAAAACATGTATATTTTATCCTCGCAAATCTCTTCTCTGATATTACATAAGACATTATTACAGCAAAAAAATGTAAACGTGCGCTTGAATATTTGAGAAACTGTTTGATTGGAAATTGATCTCTAATAATATTACATACTTTGCGTAATCGAATACATAAATATGTTAAATATTCTATCATAATCTAATTTCTGCTGAACTCAGGCGAAGATTGTTTTGAGAGAAGGCTAGTCCAAACTTTTAATATTGATCAACATCGACGCAAAGGTGTTTATATATATATTTAAACCGTCCAAGGAATAAAGAGAAAGAAAAGGAAACAACTTCAATCAATAAATCCTTAATACCATGAATTATTGGAAGACAGCGATCGACAGACAAACAGGCGCATTTGTCGGGAGATAACTGTATCTAACTGGCTCGTTCAGAGTTGAAAGCACCCATTAGAACGTCGATGAGGGTGTCAAATTGACTAGATTATATATCTGCCCCACGCATCTTAATACAAACACACAAGTCTCTCCCATCTGATACATCTGGAGGAACGATGCCTATCGGATTAGGGCTGAATGTAAATGCCGCGGGAGTTTTTTGTCGAGTCATTCGTCGAGTCTCTATTTAAAATCCGCGATGGATCGATTCTGCCGTCGCGGCGTGAACAAATTTTTTGAATCTTTAGCTCGTTTCTCGAGAAGCAAAAAGTAAAGTCACCGACTCGATCACGGGCGAGCTTATCGTTACGAATCCGAGACGACGAAACGAAGAATTCTTATCAATATCCGAGATGCGATCTCTTGTCAACTCTTAGGCGAAGGAAACTCCGACTAAAAACTATTCCGCGGGAACATTCCACATCCATCGTGGAGAAACGGCGCGTCCTATCTCGAAGCGGCGACCACATTCCACCGCAGAGCGTTTTATTTTATTGGACTGAAAGGTGTCAAATATAGGTGGCAGGGGGACCCATCTACTTACATACCGACACGCGAGTTTGAGAGAACCCTCCGCCTGTTCCTCCGTCGCTCCCCCCCCCCTTCTTCTTTCTATTCGGTTTGATCTCAACGTGTGGGTAAAATCCCAAAGTGAGGACCCGGTTCGCATTGTGACCGGGTGACAGATTTTTGACAGATTCTGTCTGATTTGGTGTCGAGTGACAGACCTGAGAGGCCTGATCGCGCGCAGTCTCCTCGTGGTTGGCGTTGGTACCGCCCCCCCCCCCCCCTTTATACCGAGTATCTTTCGAAAGCAACGCTTGACTATGCTTCGCTCCGGTAATTCTTCTCATACTAATTATTTTTATATTTATAACACTCTATCATAGCGATAAAAATTTGAATTAAAAAAAGAAATTATATTTGTACCAAAAAAAGGCATAATTCATTAAAAGTCTAAATTTTTAATTTTAAAGAATTACGTAGATTTGTTGAAGAAATCAATATTAATCGCAACAAATAACATCGATATATTTAAAATAAATCGAAGATATTCCATGTAAAACGGTTATTCCAACTGATGCAAAAAATAACTAAATTATCTTTTGCGCTTTAATTTTATTTTTGTACTTTTATTATTTTTAAAATGTAATTAAACGCAATCTCTATTTTTATGTTCCTTTATTTTTCTCTCTTTTTATATATAGCTTGCTCTTTCATATTTTTAGTAGCTTTAAATAGAATTTTTCGTCTTGCGTTTTTTATGTTATAGTTGGCTACTCACAATCAGCTAGACTCTCGCTACAGACCTGTACATAGGTCAAAGACAAATTTTTGGGTTTCGGTCACAGCTACTTCACGGTAAAGGTTGCCTGGTTTCTGTGAAGCCACTATATGTGCGAAACCGTCATAAAAGGCCAGAGGGTTGGCACGGTATGGGATACGACTTATTTTGTCGACAATACGCACGGTCAGGCGCTAGTATAAAGACACATAATGCACCCCGGTAACGTGAAAATTATTCTGTCAAACATTCGGGTGTCGGATTTACGCCGGCGTCCGTCTACGACACGCTTTTTCGGAGAAGACACGTCAATCGCGGCCGCTTTCGGCAGATGCCGAAAGGGTGTTTCGGTCAATGAGATGTATGCCGATCCGCACGCATGTTATTTTAGGTAACAAGAATGTTGTATATGTCATACGGTGTTTAGTTTTTAAGTTTTAAGTAGTCAATTCACAACGATTTATACATTTTCTGTTGAATGAGTAATATACTTCTAGAGTGCTAAAAAAATAATGACAATTATTAAATACAATATATCATGCACAAATGAAATGCAAAATTAGAACAAAGAATAATTATGAATAGAGCTCGATAATTGCAGTTGTTATCAAAACTCTACATTTGAAACCGATAAATTTATTGATTAATAATATTATTATTTTAATCGAGATAAGTTAATACATATTTTTGTATATAAGATAGTTCAAATATCATGACAAGCACATTTGCCGTCATACTTTCGTGCGAAAGATATTATTTTGGATCACGAGTGCAACAAAATAAAATTGAGAAATTCGAACGATTTGTTTGAAAGAATTTTGGACTTCTCGTCTTCGATCGCAATCATTGTTTTCATTGTAAAAACTGTCGCGTGACGAAGCAGGAACACAATAGCTTCGAGACGAGACGGAAAACTACAAAACAGCTCCCGCCTGCAGACACGCGGAATATTGTGACGTTTCTTTTCCGAGTGACATTCAATTTTTAGGCTGGTAACGTCTCGCGTGCCCCGACCGCACTGTATACGCTATAGAATAGAGAATACGATATATCCGTGCACATCCCCAACCTCCCCCTTTTCGTACCATGCATCGATGCAGCTACTCTAGACGGGCAGCCGGGGTGCTTTCGTAGTAAATACAAACAAACAACAATCGGCCTCCGTTTCTGCCCACGAGATCGACGAGACGGACGAACAGAAGGTATATCGTATGTAGTACGGGGATGATCAACTGACAGTTCTAATGTGATCCCTCGAGTTCGAATTTTGCGTTGAAAAGTCGATCTTTTGTTACCTTGTTGTTCTATTTTTTCTTAAATAAAATGTAGTTTGTACAGAGAATAGATCATATAAAATATAAATTTTAAATAAGAAAATTATTCCAGGAAATTTTTTGATGTCAATAATCTATGATTAGTGCTATGCATTTTGTAGTTCAATTCACATAATCGAGATATAATTCTTTATTTAAGAAACTTTTAAATCTACAAAAATATGAGTTTAAGACGTATGTAAATTTATTAATTAATTTCCAAATTTTTTTTTTACACAGGAAAAAATTGTATTTATTGTATTATTATTTTTTCTTATGTTACCACTTTTTTCATTTTTTTTTCTGATAGTTCATTCGAAGAATAACATGTTTGGATTCCAAAAAAGGAGTTGACTGTCCCTGCTTGAGTACATTATACAACCCAACTAGTCTGTGAATATGAAAACACATCTAAACACGCGTTCGGAGAAAGAGCCGGCATGTATATGTGACGGACCAAATCGCACAAAGAAAACAGCCCAAATAGCTGTATAAAAGGTTTGTCACGGAATAAAATATTCATTTTAAAAGTATTATTAACCGCAGTAATCCTCAAACTTTCCAATACATCTTGTGATTTTTATTTCTCTAGCGTCTACATTCGTGATTTCTCTTTAACTAAAATATGATTCCGAATTTTTCAACCTTATGTAAAGTTTATGTTATTCTTTTAATATATTTCTTCATAATTATTTTCTGTTTAATAGAAAATATATACTAGAAAACTAAATGTATATTATACTAAACAAAAAATTATAAAGATTTGAAATTCTTCATCATATATATTTATGCGAAGAAAATGTTTTGCGAGATAATCGATAAAGATTTGTTAGTAATACATATATTTTTCTGCTTTCAAAATGCATTTGCAAAATATGATAAAAAAGTTTCTCGGTTATCTGAAGGATCTCGTCTTTTATACTTTTTGTGATGTTAAGTTCGAGTTTGCTAAGTTTAATATATTAACGGTATATAAAAACATAACATCTTCAATTGACAAAAACTATACAGAATGTAAATAATTTTGAATAATGTATTTATGTGTTGGAATTTTTTTTCTCTATTACATATAACATCATTTGTCTTCCATTGCGCGATTTTATAATTAGTTGTTTGAGAGGTATATAATATCGGGCGAGATGAAAAGCGAGTTTATCCGTTCAATGTATCGTATACAAATGTATATGGTATCCTGTCAACATAACTATACACTCGGCGAAAGAGGAGGAATATACATGTATCCTTGTAGCAGCGAGGTATAGATTGTAAAAAGAAAGTTAGGATACATATACGCTGCCTGGCTCTGGCTCTGGTCTCATCCCTCCCTCCTCCTGTCGCATAGAAAAGGTTACGTTTATTCTCCTGTAATATATCTATACAGGTTGTCTTAAAAGCAAGATGCATTTTTCCGAATAGAGCCATTAAATAATAAACTAAGAAAAGTGGGATGTTTTCCAATGTTTTTGGCTATCGAGACAATAGGAAATTAAGTTCGTGGAATATAAATAGAAATGATAAAATCTTATCAATTCATTTAATTTCGAATTTTATTTCAAACTTTATCTCAACAGAAGAGTTCTGCTTGACTTGAGTATAATTTATCTAACTATTTAACTATTATAGAAGTATTACGAAGAAATTGATTAAATTTTATTACAAATTTTATTCAAAGCTCACTAAAAAATACGCGAAGAAATTATGTAATAATTGAAACATCCTGTATCGTGTTGTTATAAGGCGGACATTGTCGCAACTATACAACGTATAGATCTTTTCAAGATACTTGTTCACAATGGATATCATCTTAACAAAGATACAGAAACTAAGTTTAATAGAAATTTCTAGAGAAGCCAATATTTCTAATAAAAATAAAACAAATACGCGACTTGTATTGTGAATTATATAAAACATATAAAAAATTTTTTTTTAGAAAAGGGTAAGATATATATATATATATATATAGAGGTTTATTATTGCAATTATTTTACAAAGAGAGAGGGAGAGAATTGGAAAATTATATATTATATAAAATACATATATAAATAAGAAAAAAAAAATTTAGTCTTAATTTTGTAGATAAAAAAAACAGATTAAATAACAAATTAATTAATTTTTTTTTAGATTGTGATTTCCACTTTTCGAGGTTTGTTACCTCTAGGACATCTCTGATACTAAACTAATACGTGTGCTCTCTCGCGCATTATTATACTTGTGACCGCGTCAATCGTCGATGTCAATAGCGAACGCGCAGAATCATGCGTCCGCGAGGTATCTGGAATTTCCGGGACTTCCGCCAAACACAACGGCGCATATATATCGGGAAACAGAAGAGAGGAACAAAAACACGAAAAGTCCCTGGACGCCGCGCGCGGGCTTTTGGCCTGACCTCGCTTTGCCACCAATTAGCATCTCCCTTAATGACGATCGTCGAGCGTACAAGCGCGCTCGCGTGACATTCGACACGTCGATGCACGCGCATATATACACACACACGCTTTACCCCACAGGTACGACACGAGACGAAAGGGAGACACACAGTTGCGAGAGATCCATAAAAAAAAAAAAATCCTTCGTCCCCCACCGTTCATATGGTTGCCCCCACTATCGCGATCTCGCCCTACCAAGCTCATAATGAATGTAACGTGCGTACCCCTGCGGTACCCACTCTCGCGTGTCGCGCTTCCCCCACTCGCTCAGCTTCCGTGAAAGATCTTTATTTTGATCGTCGACCGATTAACGGCCACTGAGAGCGTACTCTCCACGCCTTCGCCACGTCCGTTGAACCAATCGGCTCACGTGCCGCCAGCCATTTTGGTCCATGCGGAGGTTGCGCGCACGTGCACCATCCTTCACCTCCCTTCGCCCTTGCGGCTCGCCGCGAAGGGTGTTGCCTCGCAGATGTGTGCTCCATCAGCCATGTATATCCGTGAGTATGCGTGAAACGTGCGCGCGCGCGCGCACGCGTTTGTTCATCGAGGTAGAGTATTTCCATTAGAGAACAGGAGCCGCGCGAGGAAACTGCGCTCGCTGTATCCTTCATCCGCGGGTAACAAACGCGTTGTCAACATTTCGCGCGGAAATCGAGAATGGCATGGTAAAGGATGTTAAATTGTCCTCGAAAATGCGCGGCATGGTTGCATGTCAAATTTCCGTTCGCCGATATAATTGCGAGCGTATCGAGAGGATGAGGATTATATGAAAAAGTTTCGAAGCTGCGTCCGATTTCATTCGAAGAATAACACACAACAACGAAATATCGCCTCCTCTTTTATATCGCGGAGAGCGAGCGAACCCTCCGGATTTTCCCTCGTCGCGTGCACCCCGCGTAGCGCATAGATAGTTACAACGACCGTCGTTAAATCTTTAACAACGAACGACGGGGGTGGCAGGATGGGAGAAAAAAGGGCAAGAGAGCAAGTTAAGAGCGCGCCCTCCGTTTCCATATCAGCGTTCCTCTTTCTTCTCGTCTACACGTCGAACATGTCTCTTCGTTTACGTACGAGGGTACCGAGTTCACGATGATGCGTGTGTGTTCCATCGTGATAGAATTCACGAGGGTGGGAGGAGGAAGGCGAGTGAACCGGGAGATTGCGCAGTCTCCTCCATTCTCCTCCCGCGCGGTCGCGCGCGCTTATGTATCATCGAGGTAGAGCTTATTTATAACGATAGTAGAATAAGAGGGGGAAGAGAGAAAGAGAAAGACAGGAGGAGGAAAAGGGAAGAGACCAATCTTGCGAATCTCGCTGCCTCTCCCCGTCTTCCCGCTACCAATTCGCTCGCGGCATATCCTGGCCACGATGGTGGGATATTTTCCCGGGGAGATGGTAACAGAGGGAGTGTATCAAAAGGCAGGACGATCCGGGACCTCCGCATGTCGCTAACATCGACGCGAAACCAACAGTTTTTCATCGGTGTGGGTGAACCTCCCCTCCGCGTCACACAGATACAGACGCTCGCACACCGTGATCGTATCCTCCACATATATCGCGCTCCGAAAGGAGGTAGGCCGATGACAGAGCGGGAGGAGTGGTATCGAGGGCAGGACGATCTAGGACTACCACATACGAGCCGCTATTGTCAGAGTTCCCGTGCGTGCCCCAGAAGCGAGACGAATCCCGTTTGTGTGAGTGAATCCTTCCACCCTCCTATCCCCATCATCGCCCTTTCTCCGCGCACACACTCGCGCCCATAGTTCGCGCGCTCTTGCTTGTCCTTTCCTTTCCCCCCTCCTTCACCTCCCTTCCCCACTCTTTCACCATCGCACACCGTGATCGTATCCTCCACATATATCGCGCTCCGAAAGGAGGTAGGCCGATGACAGAGCGGGAGGAGTGGTATCGAGGGCAGGACGATCTAGGACTACCACATACGAGCCGCTATTGTCAGAGTTCCCGTGCGTGCCCCAGAAGCGAGACGAATCCCGTTTGTGTGAGTGAATCCTTCCACCCTCCTATCCCCATCATCGCCCTTTCTCCGCGCACACACTCGCGCCCATAGTTCGCGCGCTCTTGCTTGTCCTTTCCTTTCCCCCCTCCTTCACCTCCCTTCCCCCCTCTTTCCCCATCCTCTCCCCGGCTGGTCGTGACGCCGTGTATCTCTCGACATCACGGATACAAGCAGACGCGCGACGGCAGCGTCCCCGGAGCGGAGCGTGCGGGTTCACGGGGAGACGCAGGTCGGTAGGCTTTCTCGTAGACAGTAGTGGGGACCGTGTAACCGCGGTATCGAGAGGAAGGGGATCGCGCGATTCAGGATTCACGTCGTGAGCACCACCAAACGGCGGTACCACGAAGCACACGGCGTCGTCGTCCTGCCATCGCCGAGGATCGACGCCGTCGACGGCGTTGAGAGAGCAACACCCGGGTGACAACGTTCGCTCGCGCGCGAGACAGACGTTACCGCGAGTCCACGTTGACAGCGACACGTTTACGCGTCCATCGTCCCGCGACACGGCGAATCAACCATTCACGAATGGAGTAGTCATCTATCGGTAGTAGTCTCTTTCGACGTCTCGACGCGACGTCGGATTCCGAGTCATCCGCGAGGGACGCGATAATAACAAATCCGTGTCACCGTCGTCGTCGTCGTCAATCACGAGGTACGTCGCGGAAGTACTCGCGAAGTCCTGACACTTTCGAAGTGACGCGCCGTTCATTGAGATAATTCGCGAGTGACGACTTTACGAGAAGGAACAAAGAAGACAAGGAAGAAAAAGAGGACTGTAAAGTGGACGCTATCAGTAACACGTGGCAGTGGCAGGACGGTAGCAGGACGTGGACAAGTGGAAGCGTCTACGCGAATCGTCCAAGGATATCGTCCCCAACCGGCACGGAGCAACGACGCGTCGAGAGTACGTCGGGAAAGGTAAGCGAAAACTCGTCAGAGGATAAAAAGAATGTAAAAAGCACTCGGTAAACACGAGGTGGCTTTTGAATATTCCAAATTTCTTCATTTCATGATAAAAAAATCGAAAGAGACTTTCAATATTTTGAGAAATTCATATATATTAAGACATTTCTGTCCCTTTGATCAAGGGACAGTCAAGACACAATTTTCAAGTTATAAGATTTATATTATTACCAAGGGAGGACGCGACGCGTTCGATTCTTTATACAAGTTGTTTGAAATTTGTTTATATAAATTTTCTACATTCTTTCTGTGCGATTTGAAAATTGGATCGTGTTACTCTGAGAATTCGCTCGCATATCAATCAAGTATCGGTATGTTATTTAACGATAACGAAACCGTGTCGAAACATTTTTATTTCAGTTTTTTTTTTCTGCAGTTCTTACTAGAACTTGCGTTACGCCCAGTGCTGATGTAAATTAATATTGAATATTAAACATGATTATTATTGCATGTTTGAAAAATATAAAGTATCGTGCGCTAATATTATGCAGATATTTAGGCGGTAAAACAGTATTGTAAATATTAATTGAAAGTGCGTTATGTCTTATATAAAGACTGCCTATGTCTTATGTAAGAACGCTGCTCTTATATAATATGATCTAAAAATCTTTGAAGATCTATTTAGGCTTCAAGAGTAGTACGGTTAATTTTTCTAATCATACATAAATGAATTGATAAGCGTCAATTTTAATTATTGAAGAATGCCCTTTCATAACTTACGTGCTCTGATTTTACCTGACTAATCTACGAATCTTTTCTTAATCGCGATACGATCGAATGATAGATTCTTTATATTTATTCAAGCCGATCATTGAATTATTCCCGCATATTAATATATGCATTTAATAATGCAGAAGAATTTGTAGATGATATCATAATTTAAGTTTCATAACTTAGTATTGAAGTGATAGTGATAAAGAAAATCTCAAAATAGCTTAAATAACGAAACCTAGAAAACACGTCTTTTGTTTACTAATATCGTCATGTGATGTGATTCCAATCGTATATACGTTTTTAAGAATTCGAGACAAATATTTATTAGAGCGTTATGTAAAATATAAGCTTTATTCTTGTATTCTTCTCACATTGAGCCGTCGGTAGCTTAAATAAGAGAGATAATCAAAATATGTATTTACATGCATTCGGAAAAACAGCTGAAAATGATATCTTTTTCACACGATTCGCAATAAATTTAACCAATCAAAACCTTCGATTTATTACGATTTTCCGTAAAGTTTCTTTGTTCTATTTTTGGAGATAGCTTCAATTAATATATTTTGTCATAGATTGCCGGCGATAAAATGATATTAAGCGTGCTACAATAATTATACTCTGCATATAGTACTCTTAAAAATTAACGACGCTTTAAATTAAGGCGTAGAGGACAAAGTTTACCGCTACGGTGTCAAGATATAGCTGAAAAGGCCACTGTGAAAATTCGTGGGCTATTCTCGAATTAGATTTTGGTCGAAACGCTGACGATTATCCCGACACGCCCTCCGATCGTTTGATTCACCGAGAAACCTCGGACCCTCCTCCGCTTTAGTGAGACGAGTGAAATTTTGGTGTTTGACGTTTGTCTAGGGGCTGTAAATTTCCCCGTATAACATGAGGTCAATGTCCTCATTCTTGACATTTCTTGACTTCTTGTGTTACGCGTCGCGTAACGTAATGTAAACGAGAAAATAACAAACGCATTTTTTTTTTAAGTAGCTCTTACTCTTTCATCATTTGCAATATGCAAGCGCACATTGTAAATAATTAAAGATCAATTTTTTAAAATCTGTATATTGTTAATAATATATTATAATAGTAATAATAGCAATAATTTGCATCCTGTATATAATAACAAAGATAAAATAACATCGAAAAATTAATGAATTATTTTGTAATTACTTGAAAATGACACTAATATAGAACGTCTCAGTATCTCCGATCGCGATCCTAGAAATTTATGGATAATTTTCTTATCAAAATTAACGAGATGCGAGCGTTGCATATAGAGAGAACAAAATGATCACAGAAATGATCAAACGATGGCACTGCATATAATCTCGACAATAATCTTTAGTTGAACGATGGTTATATGGATAAGTAGATCGGCTTATTAAAATTTCAAACCGCAAATATACGGCTTAATCAAACCGCAAAAGCGTGCGTGCGCAATTTTGCGGTTATTATTCGCGCGACTGAAATTGGCGTAACGGTTGATGGTGGATACGAGTCTTTTTCCGCGCCGCTTATGAATCCTCGATCGACCGCGCGTCTCTGATAAATGAAGTCGCGGAAATCGGCCGCTCCGAAAGAAAGCGACGAGCACGGAGAGAAGCGGCTTCTTGCGTAAGGACGCGAGGAAGAAAAGGGAATCGGCGCGGCGCCTTTTCGCGCGTATCACGCTCGTGAGTGGCCTCCGGTAGCCAGTCGCATGCTCGTTCTGTTAATTGTCGCCAATTAACGAGGTACACCTCTCGCCGACCGTCTCATCTTGCTTTAGCCGGCCACCTCCTTATCGGCTCTATTCAGGATCGCCGCCGTCTTTTCTCTCCGCCTCTGCTCGTACACCCTGACGAGCAGCGGTAAACCATCGTTCGCGCTTTTGTCGGCATAACGCCACGTCATCCCCGCTAATCGTCACGAAAAGTACGCCGCGTTTATACGACGTCCTCTCGACGATAAAGACCGCTACTGGCCGCGCGAGAGAGTGAAACGCGCCGCGCGAGCATCAATCTTTGTACCGATTTCTTTGGCCGAGCAGCGGTCGTTCTAGCCGCGGTGTGGGATCGGTAATACGAGTTTAGTTACCTATCGCATCGGGATTCCGGCACCGAAATCGCCGCTCGTTAGCGAAGTACATTCGCGCTCACGAAGTGAGCTTCGTCGAGAAGCCTGGGCGAAGAGAGCACTCGGATTTTTTTTTCGGAGCGTTCGCCAGCTTATTTTCAATTTTGTGCGCGGGCGCGAAATTAACTTCTTCCGGCGAGAACGATGCTTATTAACAGCCTCAACAGCCGGTCACGATATTCTGAATGAATGTACTTGAGAGATTTTAAATCGTCATTTATCAAAAGTTTTAGCAACTTGACTTTTAGCATAGGTGACCTTTTTAGCAGGTTAATTTAATTGTTTTTTTTTTTTTTTTTTTTTTTTTTTTTTTGGCACCACCTTTTTTTGTTTGATAC